ACTATTAATTTTACATTGATAATACTAATACAGTAATAGTAAGAATATGGATCAGACAGCAATTAATCTCTGAGGTAGCCTTAATTGAGCAACAAATCATGCCATAGCAATTGCCGTTAAGCAACCATTCTCTCAAATCTATGCATGTAATCTCCTCTAAACACCTCTTATCGATTTCATGTATTCATATAAGGATGAATGTGTTATGTCCACAATCAGTATTTTTCGCGATTGCCACCAATTCATGAACAAGAACCGTATTCACTCTAGAGCTCCTAAGAAGATGTGGGTTTAATGGTTGGATTTTCCCACCTTGCCAAATTTTCAATAGCCAAAGACCCACAGCTATTCGTGGAATAACGATTCCGTGGTGACGCGCGGTAAATATACGCCGCACTGTCAGAGTTGGAGTTCCTTTGGGGCGCTGATTAGACCCACGGTCTAAATAAAGATACCTTTTTTGAGGTATTTTGATCGCTTCTTGTATCATTGTGGAAAAATTCCACAATCAGCCCTTAATCACCTTATGTGACTTAGGATATATACAGTTTTTACTCATGATACACTGTGAAGGCCTAATTATAAATAAAATTAACACAGTGAAGCCTCTCATAATCAGACTAGACGATTTCAGGTCTCATGTTTAGCATCATCTTGTATGTTTTCACTAGTTGAGTTTCTTCCCCCCAGGCGTATAAATAATTTTTTGTCTACTCTCTTAATCAGTGACTTGCGAAATCAGATTAATAAAATTAACTATTACTGTTAATTTTAAACATCGGCGACTGAAGCTCATTGTTTACCGGATTTATCAATCCCATCAAATTATCCTCTGAAAATGTCCAATTTGATATTACCTTTTGTCGTCATTAATCAAGATATAACTTAGGGTTATTCATCAACCTTATACCAGTTGTTGGATCATCTATTTAGTATTTTTTTAATTTTATTAAAACATTTTAGCTATATTAGTAAATATTTTGTGAATTCGCTACACCAATTATGTAGAATGGCTTGAAATTAGGATCTGATCCGATTCAGGTGAGTTGGGCTAGATGTAGCTTGATTAATAAAGCTGAAAAAATATGCATCACCAAGAGAACAAGCGCCTTTGATTGGGGAAGCACAAATGTGATTTTATACTGTACAATTAAGTAGATGATGGATTTTGAGTCCTCACGATTTTTTTTCTTTTTATGCACTTTTCTCAAATACTATTTAACAGCTCAATACGTCTCAATGTCGGCAATTCCTGGAACTGGATTAAATATGAGTCGATCTCAATCTCCGGAATCCTTTTCTATTTCTGCAAAGCCACAAACTCCCAGATCGGTCTCAGCTGCTACATTGTCAAGGGAATCCAAGAAGTCGAGTGCAGCTTCTTCGCAAGATGGACTTGCTCGGCGATGGAATGAAGCAGATGGCTGGCTTCGCAACTCCAAAATCGCAGATCAAAGTGAGAAAGGCGATTACGACGACGACGACCTCTCCGAAGAGGACTGGCAGCTGGACAGCGTGAAGGGAGAAGAAGACGCAAAGCTGGAGGAGTTTTGGTTTATTTCGAAGAAATGGCTGGCCATTGATGAAGGTGACAAGCAGATTGTTCGGGAGATCTTGGCCACCACCGAAGAGGGAAAACCGCTTACCAATTTGACAGGTGATATATATATATATATATATATGTATATATATATATATACGAATTTACTAAGTTTATTAAGTTATTAGTTGAAGCAATTAGAATTGAGGCTTAATTGGAAATAATACAACCAGACTAAGAAAAAACATTTTCTTACAAGATCCTTAAGTCAAACTGGGCCATTTATGGTCGTGCATAGACTGTTAGTGAAGTTACTCTAAATAAATGGCCATAGTTACCAGTCTTTTTTATCCTGTCTGGGCACAGACTCAATCTCTTTTGTTTAAATCGGCAACCCTACAACTCTGTCATGCAGCCCCAGGTGCGAGATGTTACGGGGCAGATGCGACTTTCATGGCAAGTCAGCTGCTTCAATAAACATTTTATATTCAGAACTAGCGGTTTTCGAGACTATCAGTAGATCTTGAATAAGTGCCATGGCTTGACTGTTTATTAATAAGACGAATTGTCGTTTACATTGAGCTAAACAAACTTACTATATAATGAACGTGTTGATTTAGAAACTAGAGGTTGATTTCGAATAATAAACCGGATCAGCCTAGTTTGCGCTCGATCTGATCTCGAGCTCTCTTGGAATGCTCATATGACCAAAGTAAAGTCGAAATAACAGTCCAGTCTGGATGCAAGGCTATGCAAAATTAAATGCATTTAGATGCTCTTCTGTCATGTTAAATTATCTAAATTCATAGGCGAACTAATAGGGGTACTAAAACAAGTATTCACATAAACTCACTTTTATAGATACATTTGACTATCTAGATTTGAGTTGACGACATTGCGTCCACTTCTGGTCGCCCTTTTGCTAGCCAGACGTGAGCACACGTCTGAAACCGGTCATAAGATAAAATGGTTTCGGATGCATTGGATTGCTGATTATGGTAAATCTGAGGCTAACCACAAATTCTATTAGACTTTACAGATTATCAAATTATGAAAGAAGTGAATTTCAAGCATTCGCGTAAGAATCAGGATAACAAAAGGATAAAGTAAGCGAAAATAATTGTGTGTTTCTTATATCCCTTGCTGTCCGACTTTACATCTGACTAAATATTTCCTCTAATAGGTTCTAATCCTTTAGTATCCACGTCTGAATTAAGCATTATTTTAGTGTGGAGCTTCGCTTAAAACTCGTTTTAATAAGAGTATAGAAACCAAATTTACTAAGGGACCGACTTGTTGGCAACGATAATACGTAAACAAACCAGGTAGCATCAATTGATTGCAATTATATCTTTTCTCAACCCTAATGTGTTATGAGGGCCTCTAGGATACCATTTTATTTGGATCCTAATGCTTGATCGATGCACCGTAGCCTGGTTTAATTATAATTGTTGAGTTTACTTCCATTTCGTGTGAAAGTGTTGGTTGAAGCGATTCGAAGGTCGTGTTTTGTCTTTACCTCCGTGCGTTCTCTGTGAAAGGAGAGGTGAACAAGTAAAGAAGTGGGGAATAAAAACGGTCTTCAGGGAAACTACGACACTTTCTTCAGTCATGTCCACTTTTAGAGAGAAAGTTGACCCATTCTCCAGATCGGGTTGGTACAAAATAGTGTGTTCATATGGTCGCTTTTATGTTGAAGAGACTTGTCGTCCACATTCGACAAAGCGTGGCTGAGCACAACAGCGCAAGCAAAAGATGTTGGGTTCAAAAATCGGA